ATTTTTTGCCAATTTTGGCAATTTTAATGATGTAACCCCTTATCATTTTTTGCAAAATGGAAATATTTTTAAAAATTTCGATTTCTTTAGACATGCCTAGATCGACTCAGCTGTTGATGCTGATCAAGAATATATATGGTTTATAGGGTCGGAAATGACTCCTTCACTGCTTTACAAGCTTCTGACTAAAATTATAATACAATATTTTATCTATTTTTACGCAAATTTTGCTAAAAATCAAATTTTAAAAAATTCATAACAAAGCTAAAATGCATTAATTTTAATTCGGAAAGCTGTCCCGAGCTAGTTTTATCACGTTAACAAATCTGCATACTCAGTGTAAAATTTTTGCGAATTTAAATTACTGAAATTATAATCCCATTCTTTGAGTAGGTATTTTTTATATTTTTATGCCAATTTTCCTAAAAATCAAATTGAAAAAAACTCATAACTAAGCCAAAATGCATTAATTTCAATTCGGAAACCTTTCCCATGCTAGTTTTTATTAGGTTAATAAATCTGCATACTCAGTTTATCATTTTAGAATATTCGATTTTTTGCCAATTTTTGGCAATTTTAATGATGTAACCCCTTATCATTTTTGCAAAAATGGAAATATTTTTAAAAATTTCGATTTCTTTTAGACATGCCTAGATCGACTCAGCTGTTGATGCTGATCAAGAATATATATGGTTTATACGGTCGGAAATGACTCCTTCACTGCTTTATAAGCTTCTGACTAAAATTATAATACAATATTTTATCTATTTTTACGCAAATTTTTGCTAAAAATCAAATTTTAAAAAATTCATAACAAAGCTAAAATTGCGTTAATTTTAATTCGGAAAGCTGTCCCGAGCTAGTTCTTATCACGTTAACAAATCTGCATACTCAGTGTAAAATTTTTGCGAATTTAAATTACTGAAATTATAATCCCATTCTTTGAGTAGGTATTTTTTATATTTTTATGCCAATTTTTCCTAAAAATCAAATTGAAAAAAACTCATAACTAAGCCAAAAATGCATTAATTTCAATTCGGAAACCTTTCCCATGCTAGTTTTTATTAGGTTAATAAATCTGCATACTCAGTTTATCATTTTAGAATATTCGATTTTTGCCAATTTTTGGCAATTTTAATGATGTAACCCCTTATCATTTTTTGCAAAAATGGAAATATTTTTAAAAATTTCGATTTCTTTCAGACATGCCTAGATCGACTCAGCTGTTAATGCTGATCAAGAATATATATGGTTTATAGGGTCGGAAATGACTCCTTCACTGCTTTACAAGCTTCTGACTAAAATTATAATACAATATTTTATCTATTTTTACTCAAATTTTTGCTAAAAATCAAATTTTAAAAAATTCATAACAAAGCTAAAATTGCGTTAATTTTAATTCGAAAGCTGTCCCGAGCTAGTTCTTATCACGTTAACAAATCTGCATACTCAGTGTAAAATTTTTGCGAATTTAAATTACTGAAATTATAATCCCATTCTTTGAGTAGGTATTTTTTATATTTTTATGCCAATTTTCCTAAAAATCAAATTGAAAAAAACTCATAACTAAGCCAAAATGCATTAATTTCAATTCGGAAACCTTTCCCATGCTAGTTTTTATTAGGTTAATAAATCTGCATACTCAGTTTATCATTTTAGAATATTCGATTTTTGCCAATTTTTGGCAATTTTAATGATGTAACCCCTTATCATTTTTTGCAAAAATGGAAATATTTTTAAAAATTTCGATTTCTTTCAGACATGCCTAGATCGACTCAGCTGTTAATGCTGATCAAGAATATATATGGTTTATAGGGTCGGAAATGACTCCTTCACTGCTTTACAAGCTTCTGACTAAAATTATAATACAATATTTTATCTATTTTTACTCAAATTTTTGCTAAAAATCAAATTTTAAAAAATTCATAACAAAGCTAAAATTGCGTTAATTTTAATTCTAAAGCTGTCCCGAGCTAGTTCTTATCACGTTAACAAATCTGCATACTCAGTGTAAAATTTTTGCGAATTTAAATTACTGAAATTATAATCCCATTCTTTGAGTAGGTATTTTTATATTTTTATGCCAATTTTTCCTAAAAATCAAATTGAAAAAAACTCATAACTAAGCCAAAAATGCATTAATTTCAATTCGGAAACCTTTCCCATGCTAGTTTTTATTAGGTTAATAAATCTGCATACTCAGTTTATCATTTTAGAATATTCGATTATTTGCCAATTTTTGGCAATTTTAATGATGTAACCCCTTATCATTTTTTGCAAAAATGGAAATATTTTTAAAAATTTCGATTTCTTTCAGACATGCCTAGATCGACTCAGCTGTTGATGCTGATCAAGAATATATATGGTTTATAGGGTCGGAAATGACTCCTTCACTGCTTTATAAGCTTCTGACTAAAATTATAATACAATATTTTATCTATTTTTACGCAAATTTTTGCTAAAAATCAAATTTTAAAAAATTCATAACAAAGCTAAAATTGCGTTAATTTTAATTCGGAAAGCTGTCCCGAGCTAGTTCTTATCACGTTAACAAATCTGCATACTCAGTGTAAAATTTTGCGAATTTAAATTACTGAAATTATAATCCCATTCTTTGAGTAGGTATTTTTATATTTTTATGCCAATTTTTCCTAAAAATCAAATTGAAAAAAACTCATAACTAAGCCAAAAATGCATTAATTTCAATTCGGAAACCTTTCCCATGCTAGTTTTTATTAGGTTAATAAATCTGCATACTCAGTTTATCATTTTAGAATATTCGATTTTTTGCCAATTTTTGGCAATTTTAATGATGTAACCCCTTATCATTTTTTGCAAAAATGGAAATATTTTTAAAAATTTCGATTTCTTTCAGACATGCCTAGATCGACTCAGCTGTTAATGCTGATCAAGAATATATATGGTTTATAGGGTCGGAAATGACTCCTTCACTGCTTTACAAGCTTCTGACTAAAATTATAATACAATATTTTATCTATTTTTACGCAAATTTTTGCTAAAATCAAATTTTAAAAAATTCATAACAAAGCTAAAATTGCGTTAATTTTAATTCGGAAAGCTGTCCCGAGCTAGTTCTTATCACGTTAACAAATCTGCATACTCAGTGTAAAATTTTTGCGAATTTAAATTACTGAAATTATAATCCCATTCTTTGAGTAGGTATTTTTTATATTTTTATGCCAATTTTTCCTAAAAATCAAATTGAAAAAAACTCATAACTAAGCCGAAAATGCATTAATTTCAATTCGGAAACCTTTCCCATGCTAGTTTTTATTAGGTTAATAAATCTGCATACTCAGTTTATCATTTTAGAATATTCGATTTTTTGCCAATTTTTGGCAATTTTAATGATGTAACCCCTTATCATTTTTTGAAAAATGGAAATATTTTTAAAAATTTCGATTTCTTTCAGACATGCCTAGATCGACTCAGCTGTTGATGCTGATCAAGAATATATATGGTTTATAGGGTCGGAAATGACTCCTTCACTGCTTTATAAGCTTCTGACTAAATTATAATACAATATTTTATCTATTTTTACGCAAATTTTTGCTAAAAATCAAATTTTAAAAATTCATAACAAAGCTAAAATTGCGTTAATTTTAATTCGGAAAGCTGTCCCGAGCTAGTTCTTATCACGTTAACAAATCTGCATACTCAGTGTAAAATTTTTGCGAATTTAAATTACTGAAATTATAATCCCATTCTTTGAGTAGGTATTTTTTATATTTTTATTCCAATTTTTCCTAAAAATCAAATTGAAAAAAACTCATAACTAAGCCAAAAATGCATTAATTTCAATTCGGAAACCTTTCCCATGCTAGTTTTTATTAGGTTAATAAATCTGCATACTCAGTTTATCATTTTAGAATATTCGATTTTTGCCAATTTTTGGCAATTTTAATGATGTAACCCTTATCATTTTTTGCAAAAATGGAAATATTTTTAAAAATGTCGATTTCTTTCAGACATGCCTAGATCGACTCAGCTGTTAATGCTGATCAAGAATATATATGGTTTATAGGGTCGGAAATGACTCCTTCACTGCTTTACAAGCTTCTGACTAAAATTATAATACAATATTTTATCTATTTTTACGCAAATTTTTGCTAAAAATCAAATTTTAAAAAATTCATAACAAAGCTAAAATGCATTAATTTTAATTCGGAAAGCTGTCCCGAGCTAGTTTTTATCACGTTAACAAATCTGCATACTCAGTGTAAAATTTTTGCGAATTTAAATTACTGAAATTATAATCCCATTCTTTGAGTAGGTATTTTTTATATTTTTATGCCAATTTTTCCTAAAAATCAAATTGAAAAAAACTCATAACTAAGCCAAAAATGCATTAATTTCAATTCGGAAACCTTTCCCATGCTAGTTTTTATTAGGTTAATAAATCTGCATACTCAGTTTATCATTTTAGAATATTCAATTTTTTGCCAATTTTTGGCAATTTTAATACCTTATCATTTTTTGCAAAAATGGAAATATTTGCTAAAAATCAAAAAATGAAAATTCTATTTTTTGCCAAAAATTGGCAAAAAATAGAATTTACTAAAATGATAAACTGAGTATGCAGGTTTGTTACCCTAATAGAAACTAACACAGGACGGATTTTCGATTTAAATTAAAGGCATTTATAGCTTTATTATGAATTTTTTAAAGTTTGGCTGGTCGCCAAAATTGTGGTATAAAAATAATGATAAATATTGGCTCAAAGAATGGATTATAATTTTAGCCACGAGAATGTTTAAAGTGTTAAATTAAGTATGCAGGTTTGTTACCCTAATAAAAACTTACACAGGACAGCTTTTCGATTTGAATTTAATGCATTTTTAGGCAATGATATGAATTTTATAGTCCGAATTGAAAATAATGATTTTATAGTTTAGTTATGACTACATTTTAATGCATTAGAATGATGCAATTGCAATCTTAAAGGCTACAAAAGTATGAACTTTTAATACTTTGCTTACCTTTATTTTACTCCTAAACTTATGAAACGCACCTTCTCCGCTTAAACGAATCGATTGACATTAAAACGTTTGACATCTTATCAATTTAATGCTTGTTTGTGTCAATTTGTGATTCCGGCTACGCCCATGGTGACGACGAAGCAGTTAGTAGCTGAGTTAACAATTTCGAATAGACAGATAAACACTTACGATGATTAGCCACTAATTAATGATCACAAGTCGTTGAAGAGCTCAATGAACTAGTGAATATGATAAGATATTGCGTGTACGCCACGATGACGAAGCTATTACCAATGGATAAAATGAAATAAATATGTAAAGGGTTATAACTTAAAAAACTTTTCTCTAAAGAGCATTTTATAGTCTTCGTTACCTACCTTTGTATTAAATGAATACTATTTATACTTGATATTTTTTGGGGGTCAAGCTGTTCCACCTTCAGTGGAGGGCATGCCGTCAGTTCACCAGTTGCCGGTCCCAACCCTATCTGGGTGATTTGTTGTAGTTGTGGTCGCGGCAAAGTCAAATTACCCCGCCGTTCGTCGCGTCCACTGATAATGTTCACGTGCTAGCAAACAACGCGTCGTCGGCGACATCGGCAGATAGAGATACGGACTGGCGTCGGGTACTATGGCTACAGAGAGGGAAAAAATTAAAACATTAATCTTTATATCAAGTGAAACCTAAAATGATACAAATAAATTTGCATTTTCAATGTATTTATTTGATTATTTAGAAAATGCATTCAGATGTTATCTTAAATAAGATAACTATTAAATAAATTTATAGTTTTTAAAATCAATAAAGATACTTTATATTGATTTGTATACCCTTTAGGGGTATTATAATTTCAGTCAGAAGCATGCAATGTAGGGAAGGAGTCATTTGCGACCCTATAAATCATATATAATCTTGATCAGCTTTAACAGCTGAGTCGATCTAGCCATGTCCGGTCGAAATGTAAATTTTCTCATTTTTTCAAAATTTCAAAAATTTAGAAGAGGTTAAAAATTTCAAATATTGGCCAAAATTGGCAACAATTTTCAAAAAATTGGCAGATTCGCAAACCTAATAATAAAAACTAACAAATAAAAGCTTTCCAAACGGAAATTAATGCAATTTTGACTAATTTATGATGGATTCTAAATACTATACTATAGATTTTTATAGGTTCCCCAAAGTTAGCTTCCTTTCTTGTTGTTTGTATCGAACTTCTAGGAGATTATATTTATATGCCTCAATATATTTTACAGTGTACAAATTCTAAAACATATATTTATTTATGAATATGTCTAGCGGCTATACATATGTATGTATACCTAGAGGTATGCGTCTCCGTCGCCACCTTGCTGGCAGTTGTGCAAGCAATATTCCGGCGTGGGCGGAGATTCTCTCCGCTCTGCACGCTGCTGCTGCGTGTTGAGTGTCCGTCTCCGTGTCCGTGTCCGTGTCCGCCGGACAATTCTTGGATACTTTGTATCAGTTACGGGCGGCGTGATAAGTGCGCTTTGGGCACAATTAGCCCAGACGCTAAGTTTCATTTTATTTTCGGGGAATGCCAAGGTCGTTTGTAGGTCCGTTGTTCCGCTACCAACCGGCGGGTCTCTTCTCTTGGCATATAAATAGCCGTGGAAAGTTCTTGCTCGAGTTGCGCAAGTGAAACTGACCTACCTAACCTGGCCAGATCTCGTGTGCGATGTGACGTATCCGTCGGCACTTGAGTCTCCTGCTCCGTCTGCTCTATGTCTCGCCAGCTGATCTCTGGGCAAAGAGTGGGGATGGTCTCTACAGAGATATACCTATGTGTATACTAAGTAGGTACCTCTGCCGGTTGGACTTTCGCATCCATGATTCATTCATAAAACTGCCAAGACTGCGGCCACAGCGTCGTTCCGGATCCCTCGAAATGCGTAAAGCACTTGTGAAATGGCTCTTATCAGCCAAGAGCTATGTTCCTCAATCGATGTCGGTGGAAATTCACGGAAGAGCAGCCTTGCTGGCGATTGTAGCTCCCCGATAGTGCCACATAATTGAATAATCTGGCGTGCCGAGAGCGCGAAATAATAAAAATATCTGATACGCAGTCCGTCCGCAGCCAGTTACAGAATAAATTCGCTCGGGACACGACGTGGCGCATCTCGCAGGTGCCAAATCCGAGGTAGAATACGTCTAGAGAGCGGTTATATACACTGAGATCGTCTCGCGGAAGATCTCTATAGATTTATATAGATGCTGATGTCGGGTTGTTTTGGCAAATCTCTTGATATAATCGGCGGTGGCGCGAAATAATTAAAGATTTGCTTGTTTTTGGTATCACATTCCGCATAGTTGGAATAGATTTATCCGAAATAAAATAATGCAGAGTGACTTTATAAATAATGTGATTTTGACTCAACATTTTTTTGTAGCGAGTTTATATTGTTTTTTAAAAGACATAAACATAAATAACAAACTGTGATAGAAAACTCAACAGAGCTTAAGTAATACCTTTATAAAAAAAGGTTACTACAACACATTAAGATCTGATCCGCCTAAAAGATATATCAACTCAACCCCAAAGCATCGTTCAGAGACATTTTAGCATTGAGATATGGCTTGCAGTTTATCACGAGCGATCTCTTTGGCACCTCTCACTGTTGGGATCTCGGCTGCAGCACGAGTATCTGGCGGATACCTTGCGTGCTGCCAATTGTCTAATTAGCCGGAGCCTCTAGAGAGGTGCCGGGAGGGGGCGTGGCACACACGGGAACAGCTGATTCCCGCCGAGACACGAAGCGCAGCCAAAGTTCTTGCCGAGCGGAAAAAAAGCTGCAGCCAGTGCAGTGCACTTTTCGCAGAGCGACGTCGACTGGCGATTCAAACGGACGGAGCAAGCGGAGGTGGTGACTCGCTTCCAGTTCTCAGTTCCAGGCATACGGATAAGGAATCAGCACATAGCATAGCCAGCCAGCAATCCAGAGCAGTAGGTGAGCCCAATAGGCGATTTGCCTTGGCCGAGTGTGGATGCAGGGGAACGAGGAACGAGACCAGAACGACGGCGGCAGCGGAAAAGTGACTCAAACTCTGATGTAATCATTTTCACATGCTGTTACGCCCGCGAAAAACGTTCCGTTCGCATACTCAGAGTCGTCGGAAATCGTGCGTTTTCGGTTCGGTTTCGGAATCGGAATCGGCTTCAGTCTGTTGCTAAAGCACTCACGGCCTGGAAGCCAAAAGGTAAACAGACACTCGGCTACGGTGACGAACTGGATTGAATTGGTTAACCCAGCGAGATTGGATCTGCCGCTAAAGCGACTCTGAACTGGACCAGTAAGGATTATGATGGTTTGGGTTTCTGCATCCCAACATTCATATCATCTCGTAGCGAGGACTGACGGTATTGATTTAACACACTTGGCTGCCCCCCAATGGATGGATGGGCATGTGGAGAGTGTTCCGCCCTTCCAATGAGAGAAGTGCTTCGCCTCTGCTTGCCCCAAAGCTTTGGGCAAAAAGCTTCAGTCAGCTGTGAACGAGCTAAGAGAGAATATAGTGCCATTTCGGTTCAGTTCTCTTGTCTATATCTCAGCTATATCTCTCTCTCTCTGTGTCATTATATGTTGGTTGTTTCAGGCCAGATTTATGGTGTTTTTTTGTGATATCATCAAATTCCCATTGAAACGGAGAGATATAGATAAAACAAGTTTAAAGCGCCAGTACTTATTCAGTTGTGTCACGACACACATTAGTGAGAGCTGGGAATAGTGTTTAAATAAACATTGTACATTGGACATACAGTAAGCAACACTTTGTTATGTTCTACAGATGGAATATGCAGTGTTCCTTGGTTAACAACTTGGCAATATAGTGTCAAAAGTAACTACTATATACTATATAGTAAGACATAAAACTTGTGCGCTTAAGAGCGCATTGTTTATAAACGAAATTAAGAGATATAAATATTATTTAAGTGTAATGTAATACAGAAACAACAAAGGTTTCTTAGCTTTAAGTTTTTAAAATTGTAATTAATTTAATTACATAAAAGCTAAGCACTCTTCATTTATCTTTTATTTAATTAATTCCTTGTTATTTTTCTTAACCCTTTTCAGCACAATCAAATCCTCGATTGTTTGAGAGATCCCCAAGATGACCTCGCGAATGTTCAAGTTCGGCGTGGCAGCCGCCAGTGCCTGTGTGGGTTCTGTGCTGGCCTCCTACACCTTGGACCGCTGGAACTCTCCCCATGTGGTAGGTACTCCCCTTCTGACTTTCTTAAAAGATATCTTCTTAATTTCCTTTGCCATCTCGCTTTAAAACCAGGTGAATAACTCCACCCAGCGTCCGCCCAAGAGGAAGCGCACCCTGCCCCCCAGAGCTGATCAAATCAAATCCCTGATGAGCGGCGAGGAGTTCGATGTGCTCATCATTGGTGGCGGTGCCACTGGAGCTGGTTGTGCCCTGGACTCGGTGACCAGGGGTAAGTTGAAAATAATATAACTCCAAGCTGGTCTTTAAGCTTATGATATTCCGTGTGTTGTTATAAAGGTCTGAAGACTGCTTTGGTGGAACTGGATGACTTTGCCAGCGGCACCTCATCGCGCTCCACCAAGCTCATCCATGGCGGCGTGCGTTATCTGCAGAAGGCCATCCTGGGCGTAAGTTCAAATAGCTCGCTGCTCTCGCAGCTTCCTCCATTGTAGAGTGCTAATTGCCATCTATCATCTCAGCTAGACCTTGAGCAGTACCGCATGGTGAAGGAGGCGCTGGCGGAGCGCGCCACCATGCTCGAGTCCGCGCCCCACTTGACCCATCCACTGCCCATCATGCTGCCAGTTTACACGTAAATTGAAGCCATAACATTAAGGTCATCGCGATCCCTTGTTAAATATCATTCTCCATCCATAGGTGGTGGCAGGTGCCCTACTACTGGGTGGGCATTAAGGCCTACGATCTGGTGGCCGGTGATCGCAACGTGAAAAGCTCGTACTATCTGTCCAAGAAGGACGCTCTCGAGCTGTTCCCCATGCTCAAGAAGGACAAGCTGTGCGGCGCTATAGTCTACTACGATGGCCAGCAGGATGATGCCCGGATGTGCCTGGCGGTGGCCTTGACGGCCGCCCGCCACGGAGCCACCGTGTGCAATCATGTGGAGGTCAAGGAGCTGCTCAAGAAGGACGATGGCACTGGCAAGCAGGTGCTGTGCGGCGCCAAAGTCAAGGATCATATCTCCGGCAAGGAGTTCACCGTGAAGGCCAAGTGCATTGTGAATGCCGCCGGACCCTTCACGGACTCCATCCGCAAGATGGACAATCCGACGGTGAAGAGCATCTGCTGCCCCAGCTCGGGTGTTCACATCGTGCTGCCTGGCTACTACAGCCCCGACCAGATGGGTCTCCTCGATCCCTCGACCTCCGACGGACGCGTCATCTTCTTCCTGCCCTGGCAGAGACAGACCATCGCCGGCACCACCGACCTGCCCTGCGAGATCACCCACACCCCCACACCCACCGAGGACGAGATCCAGTTCATCCTCAGCGAGATCAAGAACTATCTCAATGCCGACGTGGAAGTGCGTCGCGGCGACGTCCTCTCCGCCTGGAGTGGCATCCGCCCGCTGGTGTCGGACCCCAACAAGGACGACACCCAGTCCCTGGCCCGCAACCACATCGTCCATGTCAGCCCCTCCAATCTCATTACTATCGCCGGCGGCAAGTGGACCACCTACCGGGCAATGGCCGAGCACACCATCGATGCGGCCATCAAGGGTGAGTCTTAGATTACTACACCTGATCTTCATGGAGATAATCCAAATCTAATCCACCGACAGCCTGCAACTTGAAGCCTGAGCGGGCCGAGGCCGTGACCGCGTACCTGAAGATCGAGGGCGGCCAGGGCTGGACCCCGACCATGTATATCCGCCTGGTGCAGGACTTTGGACTCGAATGCGAGGTGGCCCAGCATCTGGCCAAGTCGTACGGCGACCGCGCCTTTGCCGTGTCCAAGATGGCCTCGCTGACCGGCAAGCGTTGGCCAATCATCGGCAACCGCATCCATCCGGAGTTCCCCTACATCGACGCCGAGATTCGTTACGGAGTGCGTGAGTATGCCTGCACAGCCGTGGACATGATTGCCCGCCGGCTGCGTCTGGCCTTCCTCAATGTGCAGGCCGCCCAGGAGGCTCTGCCCGTCATTGTGGACATTATGGGCGAGGAGCTGCAATGGTCAAAGGACGAGAAGGAGCGCCAGATCAAGGCCGCCACTGATTTCTTGGCCAACGAGATGGGCCACACCGTCAACCGCACCTCCAAGGAACGCATCCCCATCAAGCTGTCCAAGGAAGAGATTCAGACATACATCAAGCGCTTCCAGCTGATCGACAAGGACAAGAAGGGCTATGTCTCCATCAACGATATTCGCAGGGCCTTGAAGACCTTCGGCGAGGGCGACGTCTCTGGCGAGCAGCTGCACGAGATTCTGCGCGAGATCGACACCAACATGAACGGCCAGGTGGAGCTGGACGAGTACCTCCAGGTGGGTCTTACTAAACATTGAATATTTGAATACAATCACGAGTTTTATAAAATTCCACAAATATTGATACAAAATTAAAATAATGAATTCCAGATGATGTCGGCCATCAAGACGGGCGATGTGGCCTACTCTCGGTTCGCCCGCATGGCGGAGCTGGAGGAGCAGAAGCACGAGGCGGCCAATCTGAAGACAAAGATCAGCGTGGACCGATCCGGAGGCGGCCTGTAAGGGGACGAGCGACTTAACAACGACAACAACCACATCACCCGGCCATTTGAGGCGAGGACTAGGCTTAAGATCGAATGGTTAGGATCAAACATATTTACACTTTTTGCTGTTAATAAAACTCTTTCAACTTACCCAGGCTTTATAGTTAGTTAATGTTGCAGTTGGACTCATTCGTTTTGGAACTGGTCTCTGGCTGGGGAGCGGAGGCACCATTTTTGTTGGGATTGACCTTTGACTGAGGCTGGGAATTTGGCTGAACATTAGCCTTGGCCATTGTGGCACTGGCATTGGGATTGGCTTTAGTTTCCTTTGGTTGGTTGGTCTGGACTGGAGGAGTCACTCCCTTGGCGGCCTTTGGTTGGTTTTGATTAGGATTTGGTTTAATGCCCTTCTGCTGCTCATTTGGATTTGGTTTAGGCTTGACTTGGACCGGCTCCACCTTAACCTTGGGCTTGGCTCCAGTCTGGGCCTCTCCGTTCTTCTTCTGTTCATTCGGTTTGACTTGGACAGGCGGCTCAGCCTTCGCCTTAGGTTTGGTTCCGGTCTGGGCCACTCCATTTTTCATTGGCTCATTCGGTTTTGGATTTGGTTTGACTTCCTTAGTGTTAACATTCACCTTGGGTTTGTTTTCGGTCTGGACAGCAGCTTTCTTCTTAGGTTCATTGGGAGTTGGGTTTGGTTTCACCACAGGAGGAGACTTTTCTTTGACGACAGCAGTATTGGCCTTGTTGATCTGTCCATTCAAAGGCTTGTTCTCCAGCCCCTTGTCCTTGACGCCATTGCCTTTGAAGAAAATAAAGTTACTAAAGTTTCGATTTATCTTCATTGTTAATGGTATTACTAAAAGTGTTGTGTACGCGATTCTTGATGTCGTCGGTGAGATTACCATCGGCCCGGCGGAAGTCCAACTGGGCTCCGATAACGCAATTGAATAAGTTTTTCCGCTGATTGTTGTCCAGATCAGCGATCATGTCTAGATTGGGATCCCAGAAAAAAGGCAGCTTTCCCTTGCCCTTGGCTGAGGACAGGCTAAGAACGTCGGCCAGTTTGGTCAGCATCTGGAAAGAACTAATTATCAGGGATTTCTCGGTATAGAATGCACTTGTACTGTACCTCAATCAGTAGCTCGCTGACGGGCTTCTGCCAGTAACTGGCATCCTGCCGGATCACCTCCCAGAGAAAGAGCGTCTTGATGAAGTAGCTCTTCAGATTGCTCATGTTATTCTTGGTGTTGCGGTATTGCTTCAGCAACCGGATTCCGTTTTTCAGATTGTTCTTGCCGTAAATTAGTTTCTTCTCCGCCTCGTAATAGGAAGCCCTGAAAGAGACGTTCTCAGGCCGGGGCGGCTTTATGGGTTTGGGAATGGCGTCCCACGACGCAGTCTGTCCGAAATGCCGTCTTTGCTCTGGACCTAAAACGTTCTGGGCGGGCGCTAGCTTGATGGCTGGGACAAAGTCCACCGAGTATACGTAGCGCCCCTTCACCTCTATGGTGTGGGCGGGGCCGCACCTCCTGTACTTGAGGGGCGAAACCACACCATTCACCTCGATCTGGTTACCCATCTTGATGAGGGCCTGGGTCATCAGGCCTTGCAGCAAGCTCTGCAGCTTATCTTCCACCAACTGCTGCTTATTGTTGACGATCTTCTGCAGAAGCTGGAAAACCGTCCATAGAATCTGCATTACCTTGGTCATGTCCAGGATCACGTTGCCTGAAGAACAGTGAGAATTTATGAAGTAAAAACCATTTGGAGTCTTCGAAATTTGGAAAAGCTACTCACCTGGCCTGGAGCGATCCGCTGTAACGATAATCTTGTCATTTTCGGGAAACTGCAGATGAATCACCAAATCAAACTCATCCGGCATTCCGACCTTCAGGTTGTCGCCATAGCCTCCTACAAAGGAAGTGCCCATTTATTGCCATCATACAAACAGGTAATAGTTAAACAAACAATAAAGTTTGTCCGGCGGGTATCTTATCAATTAAAAGATATTCCCCGATTACTGGAAAATTGGCTTAAAATATTGCGAAACCATTGAAGTTCATAAGTTCTTATAAATAATATATTTCTCACATTTCTTTACCCAAAAACAGGTCTCTGCGAATTTATTTTTAATTTGATTTCAACATTTATATTTAAAGTAGAAAATGGACAGCTCGACAATTAAGGTTTCTTTAAAAAGCATTGTATATAAACAAGTCTTTAAACACAGTTAAACGGACCCTTATCCTTTTTTTTATCTTATCTTCTCTTCCTCTTTGTTATCAAATAATTCTGTACTTATTTAGCTTTGAAATTCAGAACAAAACGGATTCTTTTATTAACAATTAATTTAGCCAATGGAAAAATTACTCTATTTATTGGGAAAACCAATGTATTTGGTGCAAAACAGAAATAGTACATATGAACGGAACGTTCTGTATGCAGTGTATTTATTGAAAATTAAAAATTCGTGGAAATTTTTGATTTGATTTTGATGAAGTATCAAATTTCAAAAAACTGTGTACAATATATAAAAAATAGTTATGATTTATGGGGTCGGAAATGATTCCTTCACAAGGTTTTAGGCTTTTGAGTAAATTTATAATTTCCCTGGAAAAGGCATTGAAACTAACAATTTAATGATAAGAGAGCACTTCCCATTTCGAGAAATCTTTAACTAATGAAGCTTCTAGATGATTCTCTCTTCTGTACTGCAGGTCTTACTTTCAGATAGGTATTTATTTGCGAATGGATTTATATGTATACGTTCCAGCCACTTCTATATAACAGCTCCTATATATTTAAAGGGTTTCAAACTGTTAGATAACTAGCACTTCCGGTATGCAACTTGGAGTAATAGTACCTTTCAATTTAAATCAACATTTAGCAACATGGCTTATCAGCACCATTAAAATAAAGTCGGGCGGTGAATTAAATAAACACTTAGATTTTGTACACTGATTTCTGCTTTAGACCAGCTTTCTACAACTCAGTTGCATTCTGGTTGCACTTTCTCGCACTCTGGGGCACGCTCTCTCCATCGCGGATACACACTTGAGCCGGACAACGTACCTCCTAGTGTGTATCCATTGACCAGCTTCCCCAGCGTCTCGTGGCTCTTCCACTGGCTGTAGATCTCCTTTCGCAGGGCGTCGTAGTGGGCGGTGTACTCCGGACGGTATTCGTCGATGCTGACGTACTGGGAGTGCGCGTCAATAAGGTTATTCTCCAGATTCTTTGCCATTTCGCTGCTGTTTTGGAATCGCTACCGTCGCCGGTCGCCGCCGATTGCTATCTGAACCATCAATTGAGCTGAGAGAAGAGTCGAAACCTTCTTGCTCGCTCTCCGACTTGCACGCTCTCCGCTCTCTGGATTGCCAGCTGATCGCTATTAGCTATAACAGAATTCCGGGCTAAGAAACAGGCTTTTGAAGTAAACAATTAACCCTTTGGCAAAGATATTTTACTAAAGAAAAATTACTATTCTTACATAACGAAAAGGATATAAAATAAAGTATATAAAGAAAAGGTTAAGGGTTTCTTTGTTACAATATTTGTATCAATTCTCAAATTTTATTATATACAAGAAAGGAAGCTAACTTCGGCACGCCGAAGTTTATATACCCATGCAGATAGAACTTCTATGAATAGGAATCCATACAATATAAATTATATATATTTGTGTTAAAAAACAATGAAGTAATACCTGCATTCATTTCATTCACCTATACATATTATATTTGCAGTTTTAAATTCACAAATTTGCATTTTTCCTCTACATCAAACGATCGTTTGTATGGCACCTATAAGATATAGTCGTCCGATTTTCATGAAATTTGACACAAAATTTAAGACTAATATAAAATGGCTATACCTCAAATTTGATGAAAATCTGTTGAAAACCGAAAAAGTTATAATTTATAATTTTATTAATTTCTCTATCGTTCCTATGGGAGCTATATGATATAGTAGTCCGATTTTCATAAAATTTTATGCAAAATTGTAGAGTATAGTAAAATGGCTATATCTCAAATTTGATCCAATTCTATTGAAAACTGAAAAAGTTAAAAAGTTGTAAAAATTTTCCCATCATTCCTATGGCAGCTTTATGATATAGTCGTCCGATCCGGCCCGTTCCGACATATATACGAGTGAGAGTATATAGAAGGTTAACTACAAAGTTTCATTCAGATAGCTTCAAAACTGAGAGACTAGTTTGCGTAGAAACGGACAGACGGACAGACGGACATGGCTAGATCGACTCGGCTGTTGATCCTGATCAAGAATATATATACTTTATATAGTCGGAGGTGCCTCCTTCACTGCGTTGCAAACTTCTGACTGAAATTATAATACCCTGCAAGGGTATAAAAATTAAATTCAGAAAACAAGGATAGGTGAACAATAATAATAACTATATGAAAAAATGCAAAGAATCAGAATAAGAGAATGCTTATCAAAACAATTTATCCAAAATCCTAAAAAAAATATGTATCCATTAATCTTCACTAAATGTTTACTTCTTCCGTTCTGGGAACCATGCAGTCAGCATAAACTGGAAAATAGGTTTAAGGGGATTCCCAAACATTCCAGATACTTTTAGGTACTTTCCGCAAAAGGAATAAGATACGCAGACCAGGCGAGGGTTTTTTAAAATGCAATTTCAAGAATATTTTATTGATCGGTATTTTTAATTTAAGTGGTATTTATATTGATTTTCCATTAGCGCTTTGCATTTTGCAGAATTTTAAATTGAATGTTATTGCATTTGCTGCTCGCCGCGCTTTGACATTGGTTTTATTTGTTTTTTGTTCTTTTATTTATGCACGTGTATAAATACTATAGGGAGTTGCAAAAATATTTTACAATAACAATAAAAAGTACGATCGATAGTTGGTACGTTTGGATAATTGATAGATAAATAGAGTAACAAAGGCGTAGGCCAATAAAGCATGGAGCTCATCGAAAATCTTCGTGTCGGTCAGTTGGGAGGGACTGTGACTGTGTTAGGATTGTGGGAGGTCTTCGCGGGAGAGTATTGAAACCACTTGCAGCTGGTTTGGGGTTCAGATGGAAGGGTTGGATTCGTGGGAGGTCTTGGCCTGTCCCGATCTGTTCTCCCCTTTGATTATCTACAGATACTGCTTCTGAACCAAAGGGCTGCGCGGGTTCGCATTCGTCGATCCTGTGTGTATGTGTTTGCTTTGCTTTTTTCTGCTCAGTTGTGTTCGTTTCAGTTAAATATATATATATAAGTATGCTTATGTAAAAAAGAGTAAAAAGACGCACATATCTCGCGGCTGGCGCCAAAACTTAATGCTTAGCTTATAACTATATATATATATAATCTGCCCGTTATATGTCTATGTATTTGCGAGAGATGCAATATTGTTTATATGCCATGTTATCGGGTGGTAGTAGAAAATTGGAAGAGAAAAAGAGTGACGCATATGCTGAGTTACACGATAATTTATGCGCTATCTATGTGAGTGAGTGTCGCCTATATATAATTGATTTTTACACAATTTATTATTGCAAATCGCTCCGATGAACGATCAACAATAGAGATGAGCCGTCGCCGGATGAAACTCAAGGGTAATCGTGTAAATAAATGTATATATATATATCTATCTAATCGCAGATACATTGAGAACATTGAGAAACGTTTCAAGATTTTGTTTGTTTTTTTTTTCATCGTTTTTTGGTTGTTTGCTAGAGTTTTATAATTAAGAGTTTAGGTTTAACTTTGAGACTTTTGCACAGCATTTATTTTTATACATCCTCGTTTATGTTCTAAATATTCATATGAGCATACGGCATACGAATCGAGTAAAAACCTCTCTATACAAATCCAAAAACCAATGTAAACCAGTGAATCAAAAATAAATGCGAGTTTCGTTAACTAATCCGAGTGAAATGTTTTGGAAGTCGGACAACAAACAATCGAAAGAAGCCTGAAAGGTAACTCTAGGGCAGGGCTTCCCATGCAGTTCACCTGGAGGACCCAAAACCCATTCGGTCAGCTTCGTGAGACAAGCCGAATGGCGTTGAGGTCCTCAAGGATACCTTGGGAGCATTCCTGCTTTAGGGGATAGTGGACAAAGGGAGTAGGCTTGGAAGAGGGGCTGCTGCTACAATCGAGCGTATAATGAATCAGTCTTTGCGCGTCACAAGTCGTCAATCGAATGGGGAAACGATACGATAAATATATCAAAAATCAACGCTAAGCGGGGCTTGGAATCAAGGATATTTCGGGTATTTCGGAGCGGGGCTGCTAATGCGGACTCGTCTGAGGATCCTCGGGCTTACAAACCGTACAAAAACTAGCTAGATACAAACATACAATACACATTTTATCAGTAATATCGTCGATTCGACTCGATTAATCGATTAGCTTCGATTGGGTTTCCGTTGTATACAAAGTAGATAATTAATTATCGAATTACAAATATAATTGCGGTACGAGTACGTAATTAGTGTAAATACAAGTAAAACAAGTTAACAAGCTTTAATGCCATAATCCGCCTCGAAGTCGAATTCAATTTCGATATCGCTTAGAGTCGACGTGTTAACGTTAGATTAGAATTAGAATTAGAATTGTAATTATAATTAGAGTAGAGTAAAGTTAGAGTTAGGTGTGGGTTAGCTTTGAGCCTAGCCAAAAATTGAATTACAGAATCGAGAGCGTAGCGTTTAGTATGCAAAGTGGTAGTAGATCCATATCCATATGTATATATAGTATGCATATATGTATATGTATGTATATGGCGCACATCCGTTCGGACATCCGCCGGCTTGTTTACTCGTAATTGGTGCGTTTCGATTTCGTTAGGTTTAGAGTTACAAAAAGTACTTAAGAGAGAGAGTAAGTGAGTAACGAATAAAAATCTCATCCTGCCCTCGGCTATCGGTATGCTTGCATACACATATATCGTGTAATACATATATGGTGTGTGGGTGTATACATATATATATATATATATATATATATATATGGTTTTATCGAATACAGTACAATACAAATACAATATACGTACAATAAAAAAATGTATAATTAGATTTATAATTTCTTTAGAATTGAATTTCAATACAAATGAACGCGAAGAGCTGCGCCAGCGTCTGTTGTAACCTTCTTCTGCACTTGATTTCTGCTGTTAACCTGAATACAAAAATACATTATCATAAATATATTTATATTTATATGTATATATGTATATATTTATACTTATATATGTTTATATGTTTGCGTGTATATGTATGTATGTATATGTATGCAATTGGTAATTAACTGTCTGGTAACGACAACGACAAAACGATTTCGATACGGATTTTGTATTTGGATGAGATGTGCTTGCTGGATGCTGCTTGCTACAGGATGCAGGATGCCCGTTTTGTGGCTCCTCTCTCTACTTGTTGTTCTGCGCCATCACATGGGGCGACTTGTAGAAGTTCTGCACAAACTCGGAGAGGCTATAGACTGCTCCAGGACCCTTGCCTGCGCTCATGCAGATAAAGTCCCCCAGACAGTGCAAGTTGGCTATAAGGAAAAGGGTTTTATCCATTAATCAGGTTTCTATACATCAGTATATCTATCCTAGACGTACTGTTGGAGAGAATGGGTGGATATGAGGGCGGCGGCTTGATCCAACTGCCATCCGGCCGACGCATGTGACGACGGTCCGAGGAGAACTCAATGAGATATGTGTCTGCGGGTATGACTCTGAAGAATCTGTAATTTAAATAGAATAAGGCATTGGCTCTTTAGGGATCCTTAGCTCAAAGACTCACCTGTGGTGCTCCGGTCGCAGGGCCAGATCAGAGCGGAACGTCTCCGTCACGTACTTGTGGAAATATGTGGGAAAGGGCAGCGTGGTGTCCAGATCAAACACCAAGCAGCGGTTCGGCGAGGGATTGTGCATAAAGAAGACGTGGTAGTCCTGCAGGTTAATTAGGAATAATGTAAAATAATTTCATACATATAACATAATAAATACTTACCCATATCACAACTTGATCGTCGCCACGTCCCGCCTTCTGACGCCACAGGGGCACGGTGCGACCCTCGTTGGAGACGAACACGGCATAGCACTTGGACAGCTCCTCGGGCCGCGTTCGCTTCACCTGCTCGCAGAGCTTCCACACGTTCTCCTCGCTTCAAGGATAGAAAGAAAAACGTGAGCAATCAATAGATGCACTACTTAAGACCAAGATTAGGTGAGGGGTCGGTGGCGCGAGTCAAAGTTCCAGTTCCAGTTCTAGTCCGGGTCTTGGTCTGGGGGTAATCCCTGCACGAAATGTCAAGTGGCTGGGCTCATTCCTAACCTTTATCAGCAACAGGCCGCCTCTTGTTGGCATTATAATAATCGATTTTGCTCGGCACGCGGCTCTGGCTGTTTGGCCCAAAGTTCTCCTCGGTGTTTATGGCTCCTTTGAAATAAATTCCAATCAATTTGGCTGCCACACATTGTTGCTCGCATGTTGGCGTGGGCTAAGGATACGGATTGGGCTCGGTCGCTCGTTCGCTCAGGTGCATGCGAGTGGGCCATTAAACTAGGTGGCCATATCAACAGTTACAGCCACAGGGATTGCAGGAGGAGGAGGAGGAGGCCCAGAGGGGGCGAGGAGGGTGGCAGTTGGGAAGAAGGCGGCAGGTTGCCCACTCAAGTGGCGCGGTCAAAAGTCGCGACTGAAAGTGGCTCGCGGCGATATCGTGAGCTGGTGTTATTAATGCGCCGCCAGGCAGAGATTGCCCCCCAACAAGGTATTGGGTTAGTGCACATAAAGAAAATTTATGGGGAGTCTTAATGGGTGGAAATTCTTGGTTGTTGTTGGAAAGACAGCTTTTTAATGGAAAGGACCTTAAGACTCATTATTTCTTTACTAATATTCATAGTAATTAGATCATCAAGTAGGAATATAAATAGTTTTAGAAACTTTCATCTCTTGAAATCCTTTTCAAAACCCTTTCAAACTTTCATCTTTAAGAACAATCTTTTTAATCTTTTTTGATTCGATATTATACCAAGTTAATTTACTATAATTTCTTAAAGTGTACTTTGGAGCCAAGATTTCCTCACCCCGTTACCACCCCCTTCAAGAGGCTTCCCCGGTGCCTAAGGGCGCCCGCAGCGGGTGAAATGCCAGAAGGCAGTGTCTAAAAGTTTGGCCACAGTTGGCTGCTGGCTGCAACCGCCACCCACAGATGGCGCTGCTGTATGGTGTATGTGTATGCGGGCGGGAAAAATGAGAGCGGGAGAGGAGGCCGCCTGCTTTTCCAGACTGGAAGGGAGAGATGATGAGATGACGAGCACGAATCTGAGTGCAAATGTGAGTGCGCGAGGCAGCAGCAGCGGCACTCGCGAATTAATCAATGAACGTGTCCTGCGGGAGTGGAGGGAGAGTGGAGAGGGGGGAAGCAAGGATTTTAGGTGGCCGAGTGCGATGGGGATGAGGTCAGAGGACGCGACGACATTTTATCTGGCCATGTTAATGTGTGTGCGTGCGTGTGTAAAAAACTTTTTTATGTTCTGCGCCTTTTACTTGATATTTGTTGTCGCTTTTTTTTGTTTAGCTTTTTGCTTTGTTTTCTCTGCTTTCCTGAGTGTGGGTTGGTGTGTTAGTGTGTGTGTGGGAGCACATAAAACTCATATCACGCGGCAGGATAAACAATTCCCGACCAGCTCCTCGGGGGACCGCCTGCCAAGTTGCCATAACTTTGTGCCGCCATTTTTGCAATTAGCATTTTAAATATTGCACCAACACAGGCATATATATGCACGATATACACTATATACATATATATTTATATATATATTCGTAGTACGTCGTAGTATATTTAGTTTAATTTTCGCTTTGGTTTTCGAATGCTTTTGCTGGCTTTGTTGTGGGTCCGCTTGTTTTATAGTCGAAACGCGCCTCTCGCATGTGGCAATAAAAACGAACCCCATTCCCTCTTAATTTTTCCTCCATATATCCTTTTAACCTACCCCACCAAAAGCACACACACACAAACACAAACACCACCACACCACACACACTCACACAAGCACACACACAGATACAGTGGCACGCTTTTCTTGTTAGCAGACATGACCGTTTGACCCAATTTCTGGAGCTGCGCAGCGCCGAACGGCGCCGCATCAGGATTCTCGGAACAGGATCCAAAAGCTGAGCGACTCCCGGGGGATGAGGAGGAGGAGGAGGAGGCGGCGGAGTAGGATGCGAAGAAGGAACCAGAAAGGACAACGAGCGCGGGAGTGAGTGAGTAATGAGCGAATTTGAATGCAAAGCGAGCCACATCGACGAGCCAGCGATGAGGAGCGAGGAGCACGAAGTCAGCTCTGGGATAATGAAAATCATCCAAACAGAGAGACAGGACTACGGACAACAGGACATGCTCCGTCGACGCTGCTTCTGCTGCTGCTGCTGTGTGGCGAATGTTGTTGCCAAAAGAGATAACGCACAAAAATAAAATATACATAATTAAAAGACGAACTGCTCGGGCAGTGCTAGGGACTGGCTGGCCGGCCATGAGATAATCATTTACAGCAGCGTTAGACCGGGATTGGGAATCAGAGGGAAGAGGGAATCATCGCACCCGGGAGGTTAATCCTATTTTACAAAAAACCTTGGTTGTTCATTAGTTTAAACCAGCATTTAAATATTTAATATTAATATTTCATTTGATTGTTTAAGGTTTATTCTGGTGTTACATATAGAAGCATACTTTTCAAAGCTAGTTTTTCAATTTTATTGATTATGAACCTTTGATTTAAAAATGAAAAGAAAGTATTTGTAAATATAAATATGGGAAATAAGCTTTAAAAGTACTGAGTTTACTAGGAGCTTCGGAAATCATAATAAACATTGATGATCCTTAGATAATAACAAGATGTTGATTTACAATATCATTAACAATTTCGATTATTAAAAGCATCAGGAGGATCTATTATTATAATGAATTCCGTGTGCTTTATGTGAGAAAAATATAAAGAAAATATTGCTCATAGAATGGAATTTCCTATTGTTATTTATTAAACAACTAAATTTCAGTTATTAAAAAACGAAACGTTTGTAACTTTTCAACGATTAATAAGCAGTTAATATATAAATTCGTTAATTAATAAAATACTCATGATCATAACTCGGTTAATAGTATTTTTATATTAACTAATTATTTAAATAGTAATATTTTCGTTTCTAAACCAACGAGTAACCACTGTTTTTGTTAGATTAAATTAGGCTCAGCTCTATTCCCCGCTGCATTTGAGTTCCCTGGGGGCCTGTCCTATATATCATATACCCATTTACCCGGCTCGGTCGTTAACGTTGCCACTCTGTTGATATCCAGGTGCACAAGGTTGGGTGAATGATTTCGGCTGCCTAATGAAAAAGTTTTCCTCATTCTCCTCCCTTTGTCATCGTCTCAGTTTGTTGTTGTTTTTTGTCGGTTTGTTTTTGTTTTTGTTGTTGTCGTTTGTTGGTGGGTCCGTGTAGCTGTTGCTTTTGTCCGAGCAGGATATTGCTTTATAGATAGGTTACATGTACTCACCAGTAACAGGACACATAGGAGCAGTCCGCTATCTTGGGGAACAGAAAATCCGTGGTCATCTTGATGCGTTCAGCAGGATCTCTGGTGGTTCGCCTTGCTGGTTCTATTGGGTATTTGCGGTGTGGTTATTGGGTTCCCGGGGGTGCTTGGAGCTGGAACTGGGAGCTGGGAGCCGTGAGATCGGAGATTACGCGCGACGTGGACTGGATGTTGTGTTATAATCACTGCATAATGCGCCGCTGCCAGGACGAGGAAAGCAGGGACATTGCCGTGCACTGGTGTGTGTATCCGTATCCGTAGCCGTATATGATGTATCTGTATCTATGTCTATGCGGTGGCATCGGACGATGGATGCTGTCCTGCCAGCCTAATCCCAATCCTGTTGTTCCTGCACCTGGCGCCTCCTCAGCGGCATTCCTCCATCGCCGAGAGCGGACTGTTTTTATATTTTTGTTTCGTTTCGCTTTTTCCTGGCTTCCAGGATGCTGCTGCTTCTTCTTCTTCTTCTTCTCAGCTTCCTTCGCTGCTGCTGCTGCTGCTGCTGCTGTCACTCACTCACACTTGCACGCACAGAACGCAGGACGACACACAGGACACCGCACACACATACACATGCACTGTAGCTCTCTCACGAAAGAGCAAAAATTCACCGTTTTTCGTTACGTTCCGTGCGATTTTTGTGCAAAATTTTGTACCAAGATTATGCCCAGAATGAGGGATAATTTGTTGATGCGTCCTTTTCGTTCGAATCGGGAAAGAACACCAGCTCGAAAACAAGCGCGGCGCTCATCCCACGCAGGACGAGGACGAAGGAGGGGGCGACGACCCAACACACAACCTGGTGACAGAGCCTGGGGCAACAGTCTTAGCAGCAAATCATGGAACGCTGCTGCTGCTGCTGCTGCTCCACGAATGCTTCTCAACTTTTGTTTACTTTACGGCCCAGACAGCAAAGTTCCCGGGGGCAAGGTAGGTAGCCACTCTTCGGAAGAATCGCGTAGCGAAGAACGCGGCGGGAGGTCCTACTCTCTTACACGGTTTTCTTCCCTTCCACACACTTCGCTGGTGGTTGCTTTTCCGCTTTTTCCCCGTTTTCTTATTCGCTCGGCACACTCCGCTCTGTGTTGCTGCTTTTCTTTGCTTTTTGCTCGGCACTAGAGATGTTAGTGGAAGTTACTATCGAAAGGGGAACATATGATTTGCCAAAAAGCATGCGAAGAGAGAATAATCAAAGCTTAAAAAATGGTGGAGAAATTCGAAAAAAAAAGTGCACACTAAAAAAGAGAGGAGAACGAAAGAGAGGATTTACGTCTTCTAGATAACTGGGCACACTTAAAACGCTTATGAGCAGGGTGCTGGCAGACTGCGCAAGGAAATCATTTGCTTATGCTAAGTTTTCTGCTCCAAACATAAATCAAAGGATAAAAAATGCGATTTTCCACGGAAAAATAATAGAAAACTCTCAAGAAAAGCTCATAAACTCTCCAGAAACAACGTTGCCGTACTGATAATCATGAGGGTGGAAAATTCAAACTGTTTCAGTTATCTGACAAACCTTGCTTGCTACAACCCTCACTGTCATCTGACACAAGCTGAGTGTATTTATTACCTAACAACGGTTTTTCGGTTTTATATTTGTATCTTTCTTGTACCTCCCTCTTTTATAACCCTTTATTTGCTGCTAACACCTCGCGTTAATCAACACTATCTAATCATTGTCGACCACTAATGGCCAATTGACAGCACGCAGTTTTAGCAAAGCCAATTAGTCGTGCCAAAATAGACAATGTCTGCGTCGCTTTTTAATACTCCCGAGAACGGCAATCAGCACAAATATTGCGGCAGGCAAGGCGAAATACTTTTGATTCGATAAGATAAATCTGCGAGCGGTCTGTTTGCCATTGTAAATGCCTCACGAGTGGACTTCCTCCTTCTCGTCCGAAGAGGAGGAGCAGCAGCACCGCCTGATAAGCGTCAGAAATTTCTGTAATCTGAATTCTATATGTAACATATGAGTTATATGTCCCAGGTCGCCTCAACCCAACCAGAGCCCATTAGGGACTTAATATGGGACGGCTGTAAAGGTCACTCAATGTGCCGTGAACAGAGTGATAAGGGATAGTACAGTGGCACCAAAGGAAAATAATAATGAGTATAGAAATCCTTTTCACTCAATGAGAACTCCGATCAGAAACGATCAGCGTGTCGGTGCCTTTATCAGCGAGCGATCAAAACGATCATGACACACAAATTCTCAAGCCAGGCAAATCTATCTATCGGTGGGATGACGTTGTGCCATGCCGCCTTTATCGCTTGGGATTTTCGGTTGTGTTTGTGCCGAGAGAAAGAGAGAAATCCGTATAGTTCGGATTGCCCCGTCCAACGTGGCAACGTCCAACGGAGCGAACGTTCAGTTGGTTCCAGCGCTTCACCGTCAACGGGTTCGCTCCTCGCTCCGCTCTTGAATCTGGGATACATTTCCAGTCACGACCCCGAGAACCTGTTCTCCCGCCTAGTGGATTTTTCGTTTTTATTTTTCGGGCAGCAGGTTCTTCGTGACAGTCCCATCTTCAGCTAGAAGAGAAAACCACCACAAGCAGTAAGTCAAAATACTCGAGTTAAATTGAATGCCATGCGGATCCATTGAAACAATTAATGGCATCGATTGATCAAAGCTATACGGCGGCGGCGCGAAGCAACTCAACTTGCGATCCACAAAACAAAACGATCAACGATCCGCGATCAGCTGTGGCCCAGTCCCACTTTCATCCTCCACGCGAGGAAGAGGGTCAACAGTCGGCGCACTTCTTATCGGGGCATTAGCTAGTTGCCGATGACAAGGCCAAGTCGGAGGCACAATTATAATAGTAATAAACAAGAAAACAAGAAAACAGGAAAGGAAGCTTAGCAACAGGCACCGAAGCTATGAGCACCCTTATAGCGAATTCTGAACTAGAATCGTTTAGGTCACATGTGAAAAACTGGTTTATTGGGATTAGTTTTACAATTTCATTAGAGATTCATAGGCCTTTCGTGTGAGAGAGAGTTGAAACATAAAGATACAGATATTATCTATATATCTATTGTGTTATGTATCTTGTAAATATGCATCTCAATTGAACTTTATAGTAAAGTGATTAGTTTAATACTAATTTCAAGAGAATTTATTTTTTCCCAGCAACTATAAGATTTAGTGTTCTGAATTCAGCAAACTCTAAGTTGATATATGAATGTGTACCAAAGGTCTCGTAATTCTCCGCCAGAGAGTCGGGTAATCTTTTCTTCAGTTATAAAGACAAAGCCAAGACAAATACACAAACCCTATACTTTATTGTAGGTCCATAAAACCTAAGTCTCGACGCAAAGACAAGCGAAAACTGAGCAAACGAACCTGTTGACAATTCGTTAGCTATTTCGTGGACTTTTTGTGACTATGGGAACCATTACCCTTTAATGGAGGAGGAAGTGATTCACATTAAATCAACGTCACATGACATATTTCTTCTATTTTTTTTAGCACAAATATGGATGAGCAGGAACGGAATCTACAGAATGGCAAGCAGCCGAGGATAGTTTCTGGCTTGGATCGGCCACTGAAGACACCACCGCCTGGGGAACAATTCCGTGCAGTGCGGCGTCAAGTGGTGGCTGTTATCCTGGCCAACGTGGGTGTCTTTTCCACAGGCATGACCCTGGCCCTGCCCACTGCCACTTTGCATCAACTGAAGAACCCCAAGGAGAGTGTCTACTTAAGTACATCCCAGGCTTCCTGGTTTGCCTCAGTCAATGCTCTGGCAGCCCCACTGGGTGGCCTCTTGTCCGGCTTTCTATTGGATAAAATAGGACGTAAGCGTTCCTTGATTGTGCTCAATGTCCTTACCATTCTCGCCTGGATTCTGCTTGCCACACCCAGTGGAACCGACCAGGGAGCATTCTTCTGGCAGCTCATCGTCTCACGAACTATACTGGGTGAGTCTTGGGTGATAGCAGACGGAAAAAACCATAAAAATCACACCCATTTCCCATGGCTTATCTGTGTTTATATATAATATATGTATTAATATTCCCATTCGATTATAGGCATTGGCATGGGTCTGGCTAGTGCTCCGCCAGGAGTTTATGCTGCTGAGATTAGTGTGCCAAGGACGAGGGGCAGTCTCATCCTGGGCACCTCCATCTCAGTGGCTGGCGGTATAACGATACTGTATGGAATCGGTTACTATATCCGCGACGATTTCCGGCTGATCGCTCTCATCTGCTGTGGCTACCAGCTGGTGTCCCTGCTCTGTGTTTTGCCACTCACGGAAAGCCACTGCTGGCTGCTCTCCAAGAAGCGAGTGACGGAGGCCAAGCGGTCTCTTAATTACTTTCGAGGCTTCAGCAAGTCGGGTGAGTGGAATGGAAGGGAAATCATGTTATACCAGAAACCAGAGGTATCTCTTGTTTATGACTTTCAACAAATCAAAGTCAAGTGGCGCCTAGTGTCGCGTCAAGCCATCCAATTATGATAGCGTGTTTTTTATTAGTATACAAGAAGCTTATCTTCTTGGTAATAAATTGAAAAATGTTTGGAAACTTGTAGGTTTCCATGGTTCTTTTGGTACATAGTAACATTTCCTCCTATTTTTCAGATGAAATCACACATCCCCTGGTGCTGGAGGAGTTCCAGGTCCTGCAGAAATCTCTGCAGCAGCGTGACGCTGAGGTGAAGGTGTCCTTCTGGGCAAGCCTCAAGGAACCGGAGGTCCACAAGCCACTGCTCATCCTGATGTCACTCTTCGCCTTCCAGCAGCTGACGGGCATCTTTGTGGTCATTGTATACGCAGCAGAGATCTCTCTGGATGCTGGCATCGAGATCGATCCGTTTATGTGCGCCCTGCTTATTGGGCTGGCCCGCCTGGTGACCACTTGTCCCATGGGGTATATCTTGGAGCTCTGGGGTCGCCGGCGTGCGGGTATCATCTCCACATTGGGCATGGCTATCTGCATGCTTATGCTGGCCGGACACAGCAAGATTGACTTCCTCCGGAACATTCCCTATCTGCCAGTGGTGGCCATTGTGGGTTTCATTGTACTGAGCACTCTTGGTCTTTATACACTGCCCTTCTTCATGATCTCAGAGCTGTTTCCGCAGCGGGTGAGAGGTCCTGCATCAGGACTCACAGTGGCCGTGGGCATGTTCATCTCTTTCGTGTGCCTGAAAACCTTTCCCGACCTCAAGGAGGCCATGGGCATGCGCAACTGCTTCGTCTTCTTCGGAGTCATGGCTATCCTGGCCCTGATCTTTGTGTACTGGGCTCTGCCGGAGACACGTCGTCGAACTCTCCTGGAGATTGAAGAGCAATTCCGCTCTGGGAGAAGCAGCAAATCTCGCTCCCAGGCTGATGTCGAGATGAAGGAGGTCTTTGTCCGTCGACCAGAGGAGTAATGTCTTAAGTTCAGGAGAATATTATGGTTAAGGGATCCCGATGAGTGCTTAGTACTGTGATAGAGAATAACAACAACAAAGGCCACTTACAAAATAAAACCCCACATTGGAAAATTGAATAAACAAGTTTCGGTGCACTTACTAGCTTTTATAAATATTTTAAATAGTTATAAAATAAGCTACAAACTGCCAATTGATTTGTTATAAGAAAATTTCCTAAGAATCTTATTTGAAATATTTAATAAAATTTAGTTAATTCAAGACGTTCTGAAATGTTTTGCAAAAGTGTAAAATAAATATTTTAGTTCAAAAAGTCTGAGAAACTTATTCTGTTTTTTGTTTCGGAGCAATAATTAACAAAAACATAGTGATTGTAGAATACCTTAACTAGACTCTTGTTTATTTTGAGTAAGCAACGTTAACTTAAGTAGATTAAGTCTACCTAGACTGAGGTCGGTCGCTGATAAGAGTCTGTCTACCTGTTCACCAACACATTCCAGCGGACACACTCACGCACCTGCTCTCTAGGCAGTGATATATATATTAATTTCACCTCGATTTGGTCTCTCAATCATTCGGGGAACTCAATCGGATTGACGCTCTCCGATCGTGTTCTCTCCCTCTCTCTATGAAAGTCAAGTTCGTGGCCAACGTCATTCGTTTTGTGATCAAATGGGAATGAGACATTTGAGGGGGTATGGAAACAGTATCCAGAGTAACTCACAGATTTCTGAATCAGATTTCTATATTAAAACTAAAAGCTTATGCAAACTAATATAGGCGCGACACATTTAAGTAAATACGAAACGTGTACCTAGTTAATATGCAAGCCGGAAAGCTGGTCAAGGTATTGCATAAGTATTACGAGTTGGAAGTAATAATAGATTTAAGATATTACTTTTAGGTATTAAAGGAAAAAGTATTCAATATTTCATCTGTTAGTGGTTTTTCAAGTTATCTAACATTTAAATTTATACATTTAATTTGAAACTAAATACTAGAAGATTGTAATATGATATATTATAACAATTTTGGCGCTAACAAATGATAAGATCAGTTAAATATTTGTAGAATATTATATTCTTTATTAAGTAAGAATCTTTTTAAAGTAATTAAATAAATAACAAATTTCTAAATAATTAATATAATTTGATATACACATTCCCCACATTTCGTCAACTTAATAATCTTTTTCTAAAAGCTCTCCTTTATCAACGTGTGTGGTCGCGTTTTGAAAAAGATTCTTAAATTATTATTTGAGTGCCATACAATGAAAGCGTAGCAGATGCAATTGCCGGCAATTAAGTGCAGTGCCGATCTGCGTTATGGTAATGTTAATGGTAATGGTAATGTCGATAATATGCCATCGCCAAGGGACAGCTTGCTCCAACGAAGACTGAAGACACAAACTCAGTCCCTCATTATGCCCTGGGCAGCCCCAAATAAAAAAAAATATAAATGAAGGGAAAAATCTGTTCTGCTTTGGCCTTTAACGAGCAGGAGTTCCTTTTGGCGTCTCTGGGGTGCGTGTGCCCCAAAATTCGGACTACCAGAGAGAAGCGCGTTAAAAGCGCATTCTGACCAAGGCATCCGCCCTTCAGGTCCCCCCAAACACTAAAAGAAAATACTTAATCTGGCGAAATCATATAAAATTTAAATGTTGCTGATAAAGGGAGTAATATAAATAAGTTAGCTACTCTTCTAGTTCTTAAAAAATATCAATTCCAACTAAAGAAACTGTAAGAAAATATGAATGTTTAATATGTAATCCCGTTCTGAGCAAATGGAATCTTAAAGATATCACTTTCTTCCTCAGTGCATCACGTGGTTAGCTTCAGGCGTCGAGGCGTACGTTTATGTAATTATAATAAGTTTTCAATTTTATGGCTTAATAATGCGGTGGGCAGTGGGCACCAGGCAGGCATCTCCAGCTCCCAACTCTCCACTGAAGCTGCATCCGTTGCCAGCTGGAGTTGGAGCTGAAAACTGAAACTGGGAGCAGCCCCGTCATTAGGCGACAAGCGTTTAGGCCATGTCAGAAGCGGAGCAGCCAAAAAAAAGAAGTAAAACGAAGACATTGTTTCGGGGCGATTAAGTCAACAAGACGGCGCTAACATGGACCAAAGGGTTGAATGAACTGATACCGATACCCATGATGATGGCTGGACAGGATAATGCCGAAAATTGATGAGCTGCAAATGTGCGAACATTAAAGTTTCCGCTGGCGATGCGCGGATACTACTTCAAGTCTACAGAGATTTCCTCTCTTTTCCCTTCATACATCTCACACGTACTTCCCTTACTGGTTAATCCAACACCTGCCGTGAATTTCGCACTTGGACGCATCAATTACCGGGCATCGGTTACAGGATAGAAATGTCAACAGCTCGACAAAAGACAATTAATGGGACGTAACGATTGCTTTGCCAACACGGAATTGGGCAATCGGTGGAGTAATTCCCAACCGCAGCGACATATGCGTTGCAGGAACAATAGAAATCTGTGCGGTTTCATATACTTGGAGAAATAATTTATACAAAATTTTATATTTTATTAATCCGTATACATATAAAGAAATAAACAGTCTAATATAGAAAATGTAAGGTTTTAAGTAGATCTTCTCAGACATCTTTATCATTAACAATTTAATTCCTTATATTCAAAGGTATTTATATAGTTTGTTACTGGACTCATTGATTCATTATTTAGAGAGATTTTAATAGAAAATTTAATATTTTATGAATCTCTTTTATATTATATAGAAGGAAAGGGAATTAAATAGTCTAATGTAGAACATTAACTGTTTTAAAAGGAGCTAAGAGGATCTTCTCAGACATTTTTATTATTAACAATTTAATTTTATAATGTACTTTATTACATTCAAAAGTGTTTCATAGGTGTTCGTTTATAAAATTACTGATAAATATCTTTCTATCTTTTTTTACAGTGTTTTTTCTACTTTGAATGCATAGACAAAAAAATCCCTAGTCAACGATGTGAAAACCGCATCGGGGTGGGATGATGGGATGATCAGCCCCGGCATCCTTGACGATCATCCCATGGCTCGCTGCGGTTCTGTCATCATTATCCTGTCGGTCTCAGCACGACGCGTGTTCGGGGTTGGGGTGCTGTTTTTGGCTTTGTTTTGATTCGAATTTGATTATGTTTATAAGGCAATAAATTAGAAAATCAGCACCACACTTGGAGGAACTATAACCGCTTTGTAGCGCTTTGTTCGCAATGACAATGCGGCAGGGAGTCCATTAAATGGTTTAATTTATGGTTGGCCCGGGAGTCGAGTTCCCTTTTGTAGGGATCTCTCTTTCTGTGTGTTCGTGGGTCCAGTTCAGCCATACCCGATCCATACCCCCTTCCCGCGTAAATGACATTGTTAAAACGCCCCAAGTGTCTGCAATTTGTTGCTGCACTTAATGTAGTTATAATTCTTAACTGCACTTAGGGCCAAAAGCGCGAATCCAATGTTCGCATTAAGCCCTAAAACCCTTGGCCTGATCGCCGGGCTGATTGCACACCTTGTGGACGGAGCTCGTCAGCAAATTACAAGTACGAAAAAAATGAAAAATAAAAGAAGGGGGATCGAGGGTTCGATCAGGGATGCGCAGCTGCAACTTGAGTAAAGGCAAGAAGCTCGGACTATGAAATACCTGGTAATCGAATACCATAGGAGTAAGTTTAAGGAAGATATTAAACGAAAACCCCTAGGCCCACTATTGATTGACTTTTAGAAACCTAATGAATATCGACATTCTTAAAAGATATTTATTTCTTTTCAAATATCCAACTGTTAACAGCTTGTATATACCCATTTAAGCCACAAATACCGGACATAAAAGAAGGCCTCACTTCATGGCCCGATCATCGCCCCATCGATCAGCCAGGCTTGGGCAAAAACCAGAAGTGATTTTCGGCAGCATTACAAATTCGGCTGTGTGCTGCTGGAGGGGCATCAGGGGCATCTTGGCCAGAACCTGTGTTTACCTTCGATCCGATAATCGCAGTGCCTGCCGGAGGTGGGTCTGACCAGGCTCCTTTTAAAGTGTCTGGCAAGGTGTGTGTACTGCCACATTAGCGGGTCTGATACCCCTTTCGGTTCAGATGGTGTTAGCAGCACCTGGTTTTTGAGACAGGGTTGGAGGGATGTCGGTTGGAGCTAGTCTTAGCTAGACTTGACCCCACACTCCCATTCATGATGAGATGCCAGAAGGAATGCTGCCAAGATTTATGAACGAACGAATGGGCGGCGGTAGGCGTTTCCCCCTCAACTGCTCTGGGTAGCTTAAGTACTCGCTGGAGACTTTAATTTTTCAATTAGTCGAGCTACCGTATTTGACTTTAACTTATCCTGGCCACCGGAGCACCGCCAAAGGGGTCGGGCCAACGAACTGGATGATCCATCCATCCGAACCATTGATTGCAACTCCTTGGTCTCCTCAGACTGACTGGGGCCGGGACTTGGGTTGCATCGTAAAAATATTGCATTTCGATGGCAAACGCTTTCCGCGTTTTACGATTACCACCACAGCAACGAATCCAACGAAGTGCCAAAGTTTTATGGTTACCTTAACACTTTTGCTTGGGATATGGGAACTGGACGACCCTGGCCATCCGAACTCAAAGAGTTTCGATGAGGAAACGGAGGAAGCTCGATGGCCTAGACAAGCGTATAATTGATTTTGATTCTATGATGTGTGTTGGCCGATTTCCAGAGGCGTTGCGAGTCATAAAAACCATAATTACAGTCACATACTGCGTGTGGAAGAGGTGAGTTCTAGGAGTTTCAAGGAAGTTGTTTTACGATTTTAAGAGCGGAATACTGCACTTTAAGGAACTGTAATAGTGTAATTTTAATATTATTTTAAAAGAGTTCTTTAGGAATTCAAACATTCCTGTTTAGAGGAGTCAAATTTACTCCATGATTTTGGAAACTTATATAAAGAAACTATAAGAAAAGTTCCATAACCTCTTGAGAAGATTTCAAAAGGTCTTCAAGTTCAGGAATCCTGCAATAGTATCTCAATTAGCCCAAAAATGGAGCACCCTTTTTCCCGCATCGATTTTATAGGGGCCCCAGTCTATAATCTGTATGTCCCTTGGCACATCCTATCATTAGCCTGTCAGCGGTTCGAGCTTCGATGTTTGTCTTTCACTCACTGGCGTGTTTATTTGT